TGTTACCTCGGGGAAACCGTCGTCGACAATGACATCAAATTCGTATAGTCTATCCCCTCGGCCTACAGATCTCTCTGCCCTTATTCTCTCTCTGTCTGTCTCGTTGGACTTTTTCTCGCGGTAGCCTCCCCTTCAACCAATCAAATATATTTATATTGAATTTAATCTCCAACACACACACGCATACACATATAGACGCACACTCAGATACTGCACTAGTGTTTTTTTCGTTCATTGTGTTTTGCAGCCGTTGATTGTACGCGAGAAATTGGAAAACTCTACGAGAATGAGACGAAAAAAAATAAACAATATAAAGCATATTATAGGAAATTGAACAGTTTAACTTTATCGAGAAGAAAAAAAACCGTACAAATATATCGACGCTATAAGTCCTTCGAGATTTTACCGCAATCCAAATGCTTACCAATTATTGCATTTACGTAAATAACATTCCGTCTTTCTGAATTGGCGAAAATTCGTCAAATTTTTACGATTTCAAACAGATATTATATTATATAATATTGTACCGAAACGGGCGAGATACATAATCAAATTTTATTATCGGTATGAGCGTCGACGGATTATTTAAATACAAAAGTTCCACGACGGTTGTTCCGAAACGTCCGAAACATTTTTCGCGTTGAAAATTGAATAACTACCTATAAGATACCAATGACGAGGATGTGTAATCATAGCGTTTCTTAAACTTGACTAGGAAATTGTCGACTTAAATTTGGTTTTTTATTTTAAAGTGCAGTGATCTATATAGAAAACGAATAAAAGATAACAGCGTCTGTTGTAGGGTAAAAAAATAATCGATACCAGAATAAAAATCATCCGAACACTCGAATATTTGTGTACATACACGGTACGGTTTTTTTTTTTTTTTTTTTATGTCCGAGATAAAAACATACAATAGCGTATAGGTTATTATTATCGAAATTTGAATATTTAAATAACACAATAATTTCGAGTACTCGGAATTTTCACTCTGAACTAGTGTTTGATACTCGATACATACTCGTAAACGATTAGATCATATAAAAACATAGACTATGATATTATATAGTTTTTTAAACATTTCGAAGAAGATTATATATTCGAATTATATATGTACGCATATTATTGATTCGTCGATTGTCGTACATATAATAATATTTCTATATTTGTTTTATGCGTGCTGTGCAGCGCATGAATCATTAAAAATAAAAAATTATAAGCTCCCATCATCACGAATGGTGAAATATTGATAGGAAATTATGATATTTACATTATAATAATTTATAGAGTTTTGAAAAATATATGTATTTATATATCGTATAGGTATAATACTCAACATATTTTATACATTTGTTCGAGAAAATGTATGAATAATATAGTTATAAGTAGTCTCGTTCGATAACAGAATTTTCAAACTCGTTCCATTTTCGCCGATTCGGTTGGTCGGTAAATTATTCACATCGCACGGCATAATAATATGCTAACGGTTTTTCGCGCGGTGCAGATTGGTACTTTGTCTGAACAAATTCTCTGTAGATTCCGACGGTCGTATTAAGGAAAAACAGAATTTCGAAACAAAGACGCATGACGACGAAACGTCGGTTATGATTTGTGTCGTCGATTTCTGAGTGGCGGGCAGCCGAAGAGAAGAAAAACCACGACTAATAAACTGTATGATCTGCGATCAGATTCGTTTTTAGATCACTCCGTAAAGTCATTCTCTCGACATCTCGCCAAAAACGTGTTCAATTACCGATCGTGTATCGCGGTTATATTACTATACTATTGTCTTCATTAAGGACATTTTGTAAAAATATTGTTACATTTACACGTTTGTTATTATTATTAATGTACTTTGCGTTTTATAAAACGGTCGTTATTACTGTCAGCAAATACGAATTTTTTTTCCGATATTAATAACTAAAAAAAAATATATATAATATAATTAACGTTTAGGTACGTACAATAATATACCTACCCGAATAACTACACTTAATCAGCATAACCTTTAATAGAAAATTAATAATTTAATTTATGTACCTATATAACGCGGTGGAATTTCAATCATTCTCCGAATATTAAATTCTCTTTTTTTTAGTTTTTTAATATATAAAATATCTTTTAGTACACGGACGGAAATTACAAATTTCAGCATAAAAATGTATTCAAACTAAGAGACCATCATCTTATTATATTATGTTTATGGAATTTTTAATACAAGTATCTATTTGAACATCAAAAGCGGCTAGTGGTTTCACCAGTTAAAGTAAAGGCAAACAAAATAACATAACTGTGATAATGCGGGAAAAAGCGTTGCAGGAAAATTCCTAAAAAAGTTTATACTTCTCGAGATAACGAGTGTTTCATCGCGAAAATTCGTACCTTTACCTTTATCGTTATAACACACCAAACGTATAATATTATTAACAGCCTAATGCCCGTTAAATCATTGTCGATTATCGGTTATCATTATTTTTTTTCCCCCCATAGTTTCAGTCCCGTCCGGCAACTTTAACGGTTAAAATTATTATTATTCCGTGACGACAAACACAGTGTAAGAATTCTATCGTACATAAACGCATCTATGCAAATACGAAAAGACGTTGGCCAACGTTTAGACGTTTTATTTTGCATTTTTCACGAGATTTCGTGCACTTTTGCATTATTCATATTGTTAACATGTACTAAGTAAACCGTGTACACACGCTTTTTTATTATTCATAGATTGTTAACGCAATAATATATAATACGACTAACACGTTTTTGTTTCATTTTTTTTTGTTACAGGTAATACTATGAACCAGTCGTATACGTATTCATATTATATAATAGATATAGTGGCCGAAGAAGCGATTCGCACTGCAGGTAAAATATGCTCAGACCTACTGAATGTATAATGTCTATATATTAAAAATTACAAAATATAACTCGCGAAAATCTATCCAGTCTGTTTGTAAAAGGATTATTTTATCGCAAAGAAGTAAATAGTATTTGCGATGCCGCGGTCGAATAGACGTTTAATTCAGATGTACAACAACGGGCGGTGGTGAGGAGGGGGTTCGGGCACGGGAGTTTGACTAAAACGTCGAAGTTTCACGTGTAATAAACGACTGCAGTTGGGCACAAAAAGCTTTTGGCACGGGTTTCTGTCACTTCGCAGAACCTTCACGCTGTGTGTGTTTTTTTTTTTGTTTTTCAATCTCTCTCTCTATAGATAATTGAAACCGAAATCCTGCCAGAAAATCGCACTGCAGTCTATAATATTGTATTGTCGGGGCACCGAGAAACCGTCCAAGCGTCACAGCGCGCTTTTTCCTGTAGTAATGGGTTGTTTTCTACCTACCTTTATATCTGTATAAAATAACGGACGGATGGGGGAAAGAAAGCGAGGGGGTAAAGTGCTGCTAAAGAAAAGTTTCCGCGCCCCGAGAGCGAGAGAGAATGAGAGATTGAGTGAGAGAGAGCCAACCACGGAGAAAGTCGATCCACGGTCGGGACGGTGCCGTTTTCGAGAACGACTCGCGTACTTACTTATACTTATATGCTTATTGGAAACGCTCGCTAAAGCGGACTCTAGCGTTTCTCGAAGTCTTCGCCTAAACGTAGGAACCTATAAACATAGGCGTAAATAGTGTTTGACATTTGGGGGGGGGGTCTGATTCTTATGCTTTGCTTTACACCTTATGGTATATTACAATGTATGCGATGTAATCATTAATTTTTGAGAGTAGCCAGAGAAATTCTTAAGGGGCTTAGCCCTTCTCCCGTATTTACGACTATCCGACTATAACATAACCGATAGTGTTCCTTTTTACCATCGGCTGTTGTGTGTTTTAGATTATGTCAAATGTATCGTTGAATATCACTCATACGTAATTTGCAATTAATGATTTTAATCAGACCAAGTGTGTGTTGCGAATTTCTTGGAAAACGGTTTTAATTTTTTGGTCGGGCGAATATTTACGATTTTCCCTTCAAAAGATGCGTACCCGGATTCATCCGGTGATATTTTATTCGAAAAAAAAAAAAAACGTCCGGATCACCAATAGTTTTCCCACCTGTAAAATTGAATAAACTAACAGCGAATGTCGATACATTGGATTAATGGTTGTCGGTTTCCACGTTATATTCTATCAGACTACGGGGCAAAAAACCAACGCGACTACGTTCCAGTACCCACTGTATAATACTTCTCCGCACAGTATTGTTCTTTTCGCTTACATCGATTTGTCGTTGCACAGTGTGTCAACTAAATTACCCTGCATAATATATTGTACGTTCCCGATCGTTCCCGTAAAACGTCGACGGTCGGTATCGAATTGTTCGTTATAGGTTCCCCGATAATTGTTCCGGTTCCGAAACGGCCACCGAAAGCGACAAAACTTTTTCGTCGCGACATTTCACCCGGAGATCCGGTGGACACGATGCTTTCCCGGCGTTAACATTGTCGTTTGTTTGAACGCGTTCGAACCCGAGATCGGATAACGCGGGCCCGGCCGACGGGAAATCGTATGTTTTCGAAGTTTTCACGCGAACAACGGTTTTTTCCGAACGCCGCGGTCCGACGTCGCGGCGTGATGTTGTCGAGCACGCGACGAGCCAGTTGCGTTGTCGCGCCGGGTTATGCGCACGCGGCCGATAAAACGAATGCGCACGAGTAAATACGCAATATTATCGAAACGAATGATAAAATGCACCGCGACAACGCGAACGCGCGCCGACCGTAACACGCGGAAAACCGGAAACCGCCAATATAAAGCTTTATTAGCATTCAATTAAATGCTTCGCGAACACACGATTTTGAGCGCGTCCGTTGTAAAAAAAAAAAAAAAAAGACCTTTCCTATAAGGTCATCAGCGTACATCGGTCACATACCATATTATCTCGCGAGTACTGCGAACCGCACAAAAACATTGTAATAACATGTTCCGTACGAACGTTTCGTTATGACCACGGTATATTTTAGAAATATTCTGAAAATTGAATTGTTTTTTTTTTTTGTTTCCGAGCGAAGCGATGATGTATTTATATCGGTTTTACTATGTATCTGTATGGTATCATAACGTGCCTTTTTTTCTGTCTGCGAACGGCTTTCCTATTAATTAACTGGCCCCTGCTGGTCAAGTTTAATGGCGGTTAGCGGTAGCAAACGTTGTGCGCGTCGATACGGTCGTTTTTCGATTTTCCTCGTAGTTTTTTTTTAATAAACCATAGGAAAAGGCAAATTCACACGTTTCAAACAATTCTATCAGTTTCCGAATTATTTATAAAGCCACATTTGAAATTTTCGAGTTTTATTTCGGTTTTTTTTTTTTTTTTTACACGGACGAAATTGTATTAGCACACCGAAAATGCTTGAAAAATTAACACCAGGTTCATCATACGTTGTGATTGTTAATGTTAAAAACAAACAGAAATTGAGCGCAATAAGGAAATTTGTTTTCACAAATTCAAATTTCGATAAAAATACCGGCATTTTTAAAACACGTTCAATTGAACTCGGTGCAAAATCGTTTTAACGTTGATTTATTGTCGCGGTGTTGTATATACATTTTATTTTATTATTAACGTTTTACGAACGCTCAAGAAATAACCGACAATGTCGAGAGATTTGTTTAAATCCATCATTGACAATTTAAAACGTTGAATTCTAATTATGTTTTCGAACCGAATAATAAATGCAATGAAACCGCCGTCGAATATTGTATACCTATTATATGTTGTATATTAACACATTATGTTTTTGAAAAACCTTCAAACCGACGACGGTGTTGGAATTTTCTCGCTACCCACTCGTAATAACAGCGAGTACTTAATGTTATTACAACGAACTGAATTTCAACACTTTTAAACCGACTTCGGCCATCACTGTCGAACCGTTAACACAAAATGATGTATTGTAATTTCGTCCGGGAAGAAAACGAGACGTTAATAATAACATTACTGTGGGATTTCACACGAACAATCTGCCGCGGTCCCCCGCGATCGAAGTATTCCTCGGTTTTCGAGCTTGCGTTTTCGGTCTCGGGGAAGGGGTAGGGCTCGAGTGAATTTCGAAATTCGTTTTTTAAATACGATTTCGTTAATTTTATTGTTCCGCCTCGATCGCATAACATATACGCTCGTTTTCAAATTGAGCGTGCCCAGCGGCGCCGCGAATCGGCGCGTGAGTTGTTCGCGTGTCCAATAGCGTATGCGATTTAAACGTTTAATTTGCTCGTATTGGAAACCGTACAAAAGCGATTCGAGACTTTGTTCCTCACCGGGACAAACGTTATGTACCTGATAATATTTCGTACGACGGTCATGCGAATTTCGTTGTTTTTCTTTTCTCGCGGTCCGTTAACAGTACAAATTATAATTAATGTTAATCGCGGTTTGTTTTCAACGGACTATTTGTGTACGCACGGCGCGTCCGTCCGCGGTTTATCATCGTCTGCGCCGTTTTCAACAACATATTATGTTGGCGTACGGGTAGGACACGCGGATGTAGCCAATTAACGTTGTTACCGCGGTGGAATCGGTCGATCCGCAATCCGTCTCGGTTCACGATTATTACACTCCGCCTAAATGCTATACACATCAGCAAACAGATTTTTTTTTTTTGCCGAATTTTAATTTACTATTACATAATACGAGCATAGGCGTCGTATTCTTGTTATTCATAATCGAGTTCTCGTACGGTCCGACGTGCGGGTCGTGTTTTGATAACGTATACCGTAATGTACCATATGCGATGACGTACGTTTGTGTGTTTTAAAATCATCGTTCAAAATGCACTCGGCATTCCGGAAAAGGCGCCGGTAAATGTAATAACCGTTCGTTCGTAAATACTTCACGCCCATTTTTACTCCGTTACTTAGAACGTAAATTGTGTCGTTTACGTTGAAACAAGTTGAGGCAAATCAAATGACGAAACTTAAAAAGGATAATGTCTTCGAGAGCAGCACGTAACTTTTTTCTACATGAAAAAAAATTCTAAGAAATCATCGTACAAACGAGTTACAGCTACCGAAGAAAATAATTAATATGGTCAACTCTTTTTTATCACTACTTTTTGGAAAAAGGCACATACGATAGTTATAGAAAATATTTTGTTTGTTCAATTTTGTAATTTGTGTTTAGTTTACTCATTCCTATCGAATAGGTGCATTGTACGTTCTAAACACTCGTGCCCGCGGGTCACCGCGATTATTATTTTATTAACACGACGAATTGATTTCGGCACATTTTGTCGTGCGTCCGCCGCCCATACAGGCACACTCTATTACTGTGCATTGTTATTATACGGAGTACGACCGCGGCAATAGTCCGTATAAGTAGTATTGTTTATAATATAATAACCTCATACTGTTATCATTATTATTATTATTATTATTATTATTACCCCGTTTAAGTATTGTTTATAATATAATAACCTTATACTGTTATCATTGTTATTATTATTATTATCACCGTCATAGTCGTTGCCAGGCATCGTTGTCGCCTTCTCCCTCTAGCGGCTTCGTTCTTGTACACGTGTTTCTAGTCACGTTTTCAGAAAACTATATAATATTCCGGGGCCATGGACGACGTTTTCCTTATATTATTATTATTATTATTATTGTTATTATTATAATCGAATAATAATAGTGCCGCGGCACATACCATTATTATAAAATATTACCAGTACGAAATACGTCACATAAACCGTCGTGTATAATATTATGTTTTCATACACTATTGTGGGTATGAAAGTATACAGAGTGATCGTTATTTTATCGAGGCGATGGTGCAATCATAATATATAATAATCATAGCCGAACAGTGACTGTGGTGTAATATACTACAGACCGAAAATTCATAATATAAGTACATTTGTTTTTGATAACATTCGAACCAACTCGATTAGTTATTAAGTTAAACTGAAATTGTCTCTAAGACTTTTTTATTTAAAAAAAAATGTTTAAGTGAAATATAAATGGTATAGTACAATAAACGTCCGTATAATATGATTCCCGGTATAATCTCCTCGTGTTTAACATTGATGCGCATCCTTATTTTCATGAAAAATCCGACTTTAACCAATTTAGCCGATGCCAAAATAATAATTTTACAATAATAAAAAAAAAATGACGACTTGAGCTGTAAAAAGTTTATTCAATTTTCAGGTATATTTTTAAAACGATTCAGTTAATCAATACGACAATGAACTCATTTAACTCATCAACTCGTGAATTTTTTTTCTCGTTAACGTAATCGGGTTATTCGTCGTTTATCGACTGCGCACGGAAATCAAAACAGACTAAATTATATTATCTTGACACTATTTATCGTCGTTTTGAAACTAGTTTCTAGTTGGGGGGGGGGAACTAGATCAAATTTACTCGAAGCGACAATATATAAACGTGTCCGTATTGTATTATAATATACTCATTCTGTATACATTGCTAATTTACAAGTGCGCGTGACGATGACGACGTAACCGTTCCGTTCGGGAGCCGCCGATTTTCGCGTGTATACAATATAATCGCCCCGTACGCGATATAATCGGTCTAATCGCTTTTCGGCGCCGAGGGATTTGTCACCGCTGTGACCGCGATCGCCCCGTTTCGGGAGGGGCGGGGAGTGGGGGTGGAGTGAGTTCGGGAATCCCGCCGGACGTGCACGTTTTCCGCGGCGGGCGGACGGGCGCGTCGGCCATTCGATCGTGGAAACGCATTTCCGAAATCCCGGCCGATCCGCGTCCGGACGGATAAAGCGTGAAATCGCCGTAAACATTTCCCCGTATCCCGTTTCCCCACCCACCCACCCCCCCATCCCCATTCCCCTTTTCCCTCTCCGTTCCGCCGTCCGCGAGCGTCACGTCCGAAACGGTCGCGGTTATACGGGTCGCGTACTCTAATATCGCGGCGATTTATCGCCGTTCGCCGTTATAATAATGTTATTAATTTTGTAATATAAACGGACGGAATGGATACGAAAAACATGTCCGTCTGTGCGTAACAGTAAGCCGCTCCCGCATATTTTGACCGCGGCCGAGGAACGTTGCGCGTCATATTATGACGGCGGCCGACCGGAGAGGACGCCGCCCCCCCCCCCCCCNCCCCCCCCGAGTCCGCGGGACTGGTCTCGGTCCGACCGACGCGCGCAATCGTGTTACTCGATTAGAACTCGTGCAGACCTTTAACGGAATGAAATGATCTAGAGTTTAAGACTCCGAGGCGCAGCCAGGAACGTGTTTATTATCGGTTTACAATGATGTTTACTTTTTTTTTTTTTTTTTTAAATTTTTACGTAAACACTTTTTCTACCAGAAAGTTTGCTCCGATTATTGAGTATAGCGCCTCTTCTGAAATGAATTGCTGCCCGGGATGCCTGACTTTGTAGAGGTCATTTTCGGAAATTTCCGTTAATATTCGAGGTAATGAGCAACACCTAGTCGTGGATGATTGAATGACTAAAAATAAGTCTATTGTGCATTGGCAACCGTTTTAATTTGTTTATTGTTACTATTAAGTTTTTATTATTTTAATATTTGTTGAACAATCTGCCACGGAAACGCACATTGTCGCAATCGTTTTACCTTAATATGACATACATCACATTATTGCGTTATTGACAAAGCGACACTATCAACTGAACTCCGTTCAGAATCGTTTTCGCGTTAGCAATGGCTAATCGTCGCGTACAGGTATACTCACATTACGTTTCCCTTCTACCTTCGTAATTTTAATTTAATATTTTTTTTTTTACAGAGCTCTTTTGACGTTTTTATGACGTCTTTTGACTGTTTAAACGCGTACAGTCCCGAGCCCTAAATTAACAATCGTATAATTTGTATTTAAATATTATATTATCCGAGTAGCTGTTAAAGGCAGTATAAGTACTCGTATAGGTACAAGTATATTTATCCGTTTTACGTTCAATCGGCTTTGGCGAACAATTTACTAAAGTATATGCACTTCACTTGTAATAGTATACGGTTTACAATCCGACAAGGTTATTTAATTACACGGGTTTTTTTTTTTATTTTTTAAACATATATAATATAGTGCGGTTATATAATCCGCGATAAATTCTCAGCGTCGCAGTCGTATACCCGGTATATGTATATATATATCGTATATACAATTTCTTGTTATTTTTTTTTACAATACATTTTTATCGCGTACTATCGAACAGTAATTATCAGACTGCACGTCTAATACGCGTAGTGCGTACAGCGTTAGGCGCTCGTATCGCACTGCGTTACTTGTACTCGAATCCCGGTATTTAAGTGACTTACAAATTCGGGGAAGAGGGGGGGGAGGGGAGGAGCGATAGGTCTCGTCGTCAATTAGCGTATATCATACAATGATGTAGTGACATTACGTTATTGCGCATTCGTAGAATCGCGGACGGCCACGGTCTATCGGCCTAAACCGCGTGTGCGTGGGGATTGATCAACACGTTACGAATCGAATCGGACCGCGTGTCGTGTATATCGTTCGGTCGCCCGCGCCTTAAAAAACCCCGGACCCCCGGCGACAACAACACGCGCGGCCTCGGACAATAGGTTACAATATCGGCGGGTGCGAATGGATATTTGCGCATTGTAACCGTACCGGACCGCGCGCCCGCACGGACGGGGCTCTGCGATTGCGGCATAGTGTCGTTCGGACTCTCCGCGAGGGGGGGGGGCTCCGGTAATATGGTTTCGCACGGAAAGTTTCCGCGGAGACGCGGGCCGTCGCCGGTAAAATAGAAAATAATTACGCTCCGTGCGGATGTCGTTCGAAAACGAAATTACAGGGTAGGGAGTGGTGGGGGGTAGGGGGAAACGATACGGACACGCTACGCGCGGCGGGGCCAGGGACCGCAGGCGAGAGAAATTTCGGGAGGGCACGTACGGCGGGACGATTTTAATGTACGTCCGTGCGCGGCGATTGCCCGTCGCTAACGAAAAACGATTCTGAGCGGAGTTCGGTTGCGCGCGCAGTTTTTAAAGGCCGCGATATTTTCGATATACGCTTCGTATTTATACGTTTCGTAAATGTTCCCAGTTTTTCCCCCATAGGTTTCTTCGCGGCTTTTCCCGTTTGTCAGGGGACCTCCGGGAAAAATCAAAAAAATTACCGCCATTAGAGTACCACTCCGGTCAGATTTCCTTTCAGAAAAAATGCTACACTTGAAAATCGGAGCAAAATAGCCGGTAGAGAAAAATGGTCCACAGAAAAATAATAGTAAACATCATTGAATAAAACCAATACTTTCCTCGTTCCGGTGGGTTATCTATAAAGTGACATCACCGTGACGGGTGCGCCGATATTTTGGGAAAGGAGGGGCGGGAAAATATGATTAATTCGATTTATATGTGACGCACATTACGCATACGAAAATACGAAATAAAACGAAAACACGTTATTGTACCGAACTAAAACATTACTCGCTTCGCTCGGACGTTAAAAAATACCTGTTTAATTTTCGTTTATTCGAACATAGGTAATATACTATAAATTATTTATTATTCAAAAGTCATTTGCATAGTCGACAATACGGTCGGTAATAGCGCAGAGCTTTACAACAGCGACGGCGATCTTCAACCGAACTGTCTAGTGTGGTCGTACAGGCGGTGCCCTATCCGCGGAAAATTACGTAAGTAGGATGTTTCAAATTTCGTGGACAAATAAAATACGTATGTATCGCAATCGGTATACGATACAAATGTAAAGTTACGCGATATTTTCGTAAGCCCGTCGCTTTTAGAAACGTAACGCCGTTCGCCGTAATTGTGTGTTTTATATTATCTAATCTACGTAGTATAATATAGCGTATGGAAAACAATTAGAAAAAAATAAAAATATCTATCATATTTTAAAAAAATCGTATCGGGTAACAAACCGTGGTGCGGTGTACCGTGTTTTATTAAACCGAAATCGTGTTAGTTCGACAATATCACGACGCGTTATCACGGGTCAAGTGTTGAATTAGCTGAAACAATTTCCGCGGGCTATCAGTTATCATCGCGCGTATGTTATAGCGATGATGAGTTCTCCGTCGTTCGCGTAGTTCCATTACTCGATACATTGCAATATTTCGATAACGCGAATCGTCCGTATTTAGTACTTACTATTGTTTTTAAGCCGATTATTACGAGTACGAAATAATTAATTAATATTATATTATTATGTTCTTCCAATAAGAATAGTATATTATATTTATTGAATAATAAAAAAAAAAAAAAATGCTTCGAGTAAAATCGTTCGGTTCGAAGAAAAAAAAGGGAAGAGAATTCTTACGATTCGCATACTGTTGTTATTATTTTAATGATATAATAACTTTAAGAAAAAATAACGTATAATGAGCATTTTGAAACGGAATAATGAAAAAAAAGAAAAAAAAAAGTGAAATCGATATTGCTCATCATATCGCCGTATCCTTGAAACCGACTTTATTATTATTATATATTGTTATTATAGAGACCGTTGCTGCTGTTGCTGCTGCTGCTCCGGGCGGACGACGAGATCGAATACGAAGTTTTTCCACGCTATTATTTTTCATTTCATTTCGCGTGTACCGCGCGCAACAATAGCGACGAGTGACCTCGAAATATAATATTGAAAAAAATTTAAAAAAAAAATAATAATAATAATCAAAATATCGTAAATTACCGCGTGCCCATCAGTTGCGAGCGTATACGTTCGTTGTTATACGACAATGCAGCTATACGCACGCCTATAAGTGTTGTATGTATTTTTTCGTATTTTCTATGGTCCACGGTTTACTATCGCGGAGCTTATAGCGCGTAAAATCGGCAAAATAACAATCGGGGGGAAAAAATTAATGTATCACGAGTATTTTTAGTCCTTTAAGAGTGCCGGGACCGGGGGGGAAGGAGGGGGGTATAAGCACACGAAACGAATTTAATAAAACACGTTAGACTACATGATGACTGTAGAAAACTAGAGTTTTATAAGCGTTTTCTCTAGAGATGTGACGAACAGAAAATTGCAAATACATTACTATAATAATTGGGTATTCGATTCGGTTCGAAAATCATTCGATGCCAAATCTGCCCGTTCACCAATACGGTGTTCTGTGGTGGGACAAAGCGGCTTTCGTTACGAAAAAGAAAGATATTATTTTTTCGCTTTAGCGGGTCTCGTAATCGTAAATTGGTAAAGGTGGTAAAGATTGACCTTACCTAATCTAACCTTTTTACTTTTTTAATGTTCAAGTTCGAGTCGGATAAATATTGTTTTAAAAGTTCGGTTCGGTTCGACCTTAAAAATGAGAGTTCGTAACATCTCTAGTTTTCTCACGCTTTATTGACGTTTTTAAGGACGTACCCCTCTCGCACTTTGCGCCCACGAGTATGGTAGTGCGACAGTACGGGCTCAAGCTTACCACTTTACGGGCAAAAACAATGAGTACTGCACGCCATAGTCGCAACCAGACCACCGACTCTGGGGGTGTTAAAATTATATTAGACATATTATCATATGTAATATGAAACTGCATTTTTTGTTTAAGTGCATTTCTTCGTGCACACCATTCATTGTCTGTATTTTTGTTCTGCCCATTGGTTATGAAATATACAAGGATAAAATATTCAGTCGATACTATAAAAAAAAAAAAAAAACTTATCGGGTGTTTTTGGGAGTGCCGATTTTTAAATTCCGGGGCGATAAGGACTCCCTCTAGCACCTCCTTAGTTGTGCCTATGCAGTGCACGCATCACAGTACGTCCTTAACCGGCGTACAATAATACATCACGTCGTTATTTTAACGGTCGAGGACAAGGATAATAGAAATAAAAATAATGCGAACGATGATTATTGTCGTAACGCGCGTGTTATTCCGCACAATAATACCGCGTTAAAACGGCGCGCGTATACGAAATTACGGCTGTCTCGGACGCCGAACTATGCGCGACGTAATCCTATTAAATTTATCTCGGACCCGTACTCGCGCATAATGTTTTTTTTTTTATAATACGCGCGGCGCGTGATAAACGCTCCCGTCGAAACGCGGCGGGATGACGTCAATATTTCGCACGATACCGCGGGTTATTATTACACGGTAACCGCGACGGAAGTGAATATCAACACTATTATCGCGGGTACTCGTGGTATACGGTATTATTAGTCCAGGGGTTTTATTCATCATTTAAAGTCCACAACACAGCGACCGAAAACGTTGAAAACGGTAGCAGTATGTCTCTCTTAAAGTCCCACTGTTTCTAACGGCTCTGGCTTATGCAATTTTTAAACACGTACAAAAGTGCAGATGTTAAATGAAATCGCAAGTATATATCCTGAGAAAATAGTTCGCGTCAATTTTTTAGGTTGTAGTGTTATAATAGATTGCATTTTATAGTTGGATCCGGTATGACGGTGGACATTTCAAACACCCCTGAGCCGTCTGTCATTTGTGCTTTTTACATTTTTTTTTTCCACCACGGGGTTCTGTTGACTTTTTTAAGCTCTTTTTGGGCGGATTTGAAACGCACAAAGTCCCGACCCCCGATTATTGCGTTTGAACGAAAAAGAAAAAACTCGAGTACAATATCGCCCTATAAATATTATAACGTGCCCGTACACGCGCGTATAGCTGCGACCGCGCCACGGTAACCTTGTCAGTCCCGCCGCGGCCGCCGCCACTGTCGTAATAATTAGGCGTACGAGTTTGTTAAAAAATATAAAAACAATTTTTAAACGAAGCCGCGCGTTATCGCGACGCGCGCAGTGACTACGTAACAATACCGCTATCGTTCGGCTCTCGTCCGCGACCGATTCTGATAGATCCGCGACGACGACAACAACATTATACCGTTACACGGGGCGTGTTGACCCCCGGGTGCGGTATCCGATGTTTCGTTTTATTTTTGAATATAATATTGTACGTACAATACATAATATGATAATATACCGCATTACGTATGCACATACTCGGCGCGTTTACGCCGCGACCTATAAAATTGGTCACATACATGAATTATTATCATTATTATTATCGTGTTTTGTACACGGTTAACGAAAAATATTAGAACGTTCGTACACGCGCGGTGCGACCGAAACGCCGCAAGGTTACGCGCGTGCATGTACGAATACGCATACACGCGGGTATATACCGAACGGTGCAGATTCGCGCAGACTATTGCAGTTTATTACGATATGTGTACAATGTTATAACGACGTTAAAATACGCCGTTTTGTCGAAACTCGATTTTATACGACGCATAGCGACGTACAGCGTGCGAGTAAAAGTGTAGTTCCCCAACCCCTCCCTCCACCCCGTCGATTTTTAGCGTATTTTTGTTTTTGTCTCTAAACGTTCGAGAACCTATACATTATTTTTATTGGCGGCGAGGCCGGAATTCCACGGGAAACAGATAATTTCAAAAATAAAAAAAAACAATCTAAAACAATGTTTTCCGCGAGCAATACGAACAATACGATCCGCGCGTACGCGCTCCAAAAGTGAACGTTTTATTTCGCATTTTTCGCCGACGAGAGAGCATTTTCTGGTTATTCGGTTCGATTTGAGTTTCGGATTATTAACAGTTAATATTTAACCAACAATTTGAAATAAATATTCCGAACAATTTGCTCTTATAGCGTGTTACATCCAACAGAGTGCATACTCTATACCAATGGTTCTCAATCTTTTTAGGACTGCGACCAACATTTCTCTCCCGAAAATCTATCGTGACCCATATGGTTTTACTTTTCAAAAATTAGTTTATGAAAACGGCTGGGAAAATCTTATAATGACCTACTTAATAAGTACCACACCAATCAGATTTCCTTTCAGAAAATGTGCTAAATTTGAAAACTGGACCTAAATTGCAGCATTCCGAAAAGTTGTTTACAGATTAAAAAAAAAAAATATATATATATATATATCTTGGAATCTACATATTCGAAACAATTTTCGCGACCCACCAAAGATCGATTTGGGACTCATCGGTGGGTCTCGACCCACGGTTTGAGAAGCGCTGCTCTATACTACGCGTACGTTATGATGCATGCCGTATATATTGTGTTACACTTGCGACACACGACGCACAATTATTTATGCTGCGTCGACACTTTTCGGCTCGGACCGGACTGTTAGGCGAGACGTTGTACAAATGTAATACACACACGAGGAGGAACCCGTTCATAGCCACCCGACGAGCGAAGACTACACGAATAATATTGTTGTTAAAATACGGCCTTTACAATGTTAACGACGACGTACGGAAACGGTTTAGATTCCTATAATGTTATTAAAACGCGACAAAAGCGGACGATACCGGAGGAAGACGATTTTTAAGCGTTATAGACTTATAGGTAGTGTCATACCTAACAGGTTGAGGTTAAATATCGTGTTTGCCAATAGGAATTTACGCGTAGGTATATAGGCACGCCATAATATTATGCTATTATTGTTCACAATGTTCAAATAACAATCGATTTAAACCCGATTGAAATATTTCGAATACCCGGTAGGCTGTACGGTGTAAACACCGGGCTTTATCAATAAAATATCAATTTACGAAAATGTTATAATTGAAACACTTTTCCTTCGAAATATCGTTATCCACCCGTTTTAAAAGTGCATTTCATACCATCGAAACGACGCGTATATTATGCGACCCGCGCAGTTCTTAGTGTGATGAAAATTCGCCGTCGACGTGTTTTATTGTATTTTTTGTTTTTTCCCCGTTATGCACGCTTGTGTTGGCAGTAAATTATTATCATTGACCCGTATAATGTATAATATATACGGTTTCGGCACGTAATTTTATTAAATTATTATTATTTATCCACGACCGCGTGTATAATAATTAATTTTCGTTGTGGCTCTCGGCCGTTGTCGTTGTTAAAACGTGCGAATATATAAAAAGAAGAAATCGAAAAAGTATTAATTAAAATACAGACAACGAAGGCGACGACGACACGATCGGATTCCGCGCGTGCCGAACCTCCGCCGCCGTCGCCGCCATACTCTCTTCGCACCGATCGCGAATACCCATCATTGGGTTTCCGGTGCAAGTTATAATAATAATAATAAAGACGCATGCGTGTGATACTTGAACCGAAATCTATTTTACATCGTTTGCGATTAAATTACACCCGGAAATGTTTACCTAAACTCCGCTTAACCGAAAACATTGCAGTAATTCAGCGAAAGTAGACATAGTACGAATTTTTCAGGTCAAACCGCCGCACAGTGCTCTGGATCGTAATTTAGCTTACCTTAATTATGTAACCTTTACATTTTAACTGATATGATAGTGTGAAATACCAAACCTATCGTTTTGAGTCTGGGTAATTAACTAGGTTTGTTATGGGTAAAATGTATGATAAGCATTAAATCATCTCTAGTATACTTATAATTATTAATAATTCTATAGCAAAGATCATATTTGACATAATTTTAAAATTGAATTTTAAATAAACTTAATTACGATTCGGACCATTGTGTGCCGCCATCTTAATCAGGGCCGAATTTTACGGGGGTCAATCTCCGGTCACCTATTTCGTAAAATACACGAATATTATTTCATGAAACAATTAATAATACTAAATATACTATTATAGTAAAAAACTATTAAGAAAAAAAAAAAAAACCGTGAAATTTGAGTGTAAAATAGGCGGTGACTGGGATTGAAAATCGAAACTACCAAAAAGAAATATATATTGGTATATTGATATATTTCGGGGATCTGAAGTGATAAAAAAAAAAAAAAAAAAACACTATACATACGGTGAAATTTATATTAAAATTAAACCTGACATTATTATCACTTCAATTCGCCATTAAAACAGCTGTTACTCGCGATTTTAATATAATTTGGTCTAGTGCAGAAAGCGTACAAAGCGTATATCTGCCTAAATAATGTGTAAATAATCATTCTCTTTTTTAAATATTATTTTATTTTGCCGGATCGAGAGGCGGCCTGCTGTGATGTGAATTCGCACCACTTATAACACTCGGCAGGCAGTTGACCTTTCGTGAAATGAAATAAAAAAAAAAAATAAAACAACACCTGAACCATAAGTCGTCTATCGATGAGAGTATATTATAATATAAAGCGAGGGACGTATATTGTTTTTGTTTTGTTTCGACTTTTATTTTAATATTTACCAGTATGTTTTTTTTTTTTTAAAAAAAACAATGTCTTTACGTAGTCCCAGGGTTTTGTTTTTTTATTATTGTAATTTGTTTTACGGATTTTCACCTTTGTGAAAAAAAAGAAATAATAATAAAAATCTCTGATCTTGCAGTGGAATTCATCTTGAAAACGCGTATTTTATAATTTGTTTTCTCCATTCCGGCAGGCGAGCGTTAAAAAAAAAAAAAAAAACAAAGCAATAGTTTAATGAATTTACGAGCTTTGACAATAGTAATAGCGCTCAAATGTAAAAAAAAAAAACGTCGTTATATTATAACGATAAATCCGAAAAAAAACGAGAGAAAATAATCATCTCCATTTTCATTACCTGCATAAAATATTTTTTTCTTTTCCCCTCCTTCTCGTATCGAGTATTTTATTTCGTTTGGTTTGAGATAAGCATAATGATGCAGAACATGCAGTGTTTATGTGTTAGACAAATTTTCGACAGAACACGTTTGTACGATAATAAGAAATAATATTAACACGATAACGGCGATAATTACCCGGAGGTCGGTATAATATTATATTGATTGGGGACATTTTTATTGTTTTTTCACCATTCCGCGTCGTCGCTTGAGTTTAATATTATTTAATATTATGACATTAAAACTCTGGTATGCTATGAGAAAAACATATCATTTATGAATGTATCGTTAGAAAACATCGAAATTGTCCAAGTAGACTAATTCAAATACTTAGGCAGTATTATAACCAACGACGGGAAATCAAAAGCAGAATAAGTAAAGCAAAAAATACAATCCTTACAGAGAAAAAATTATTAACGTCAAAATATATGAACATAGCAAAGAAGAAAAGGCTCACGTGAATGTACGTCTGGAATGTGAAATTATATGTAAACGAGACATGGACAATTAATAAAAAGGAAAAAGATATGTTGGAAGCTCTGGAGATGTGGTGTTGGAGAAAAATACCAGGCCCAATTACCGTATATGTTTTTGAAAAAAAAGGTTCATTGTGGCTCGATTCCCGGCAAACTTAATTTTACTTACCTAATTGAAAAGTGCTATTTTACGAACCCCCGAAAACAAATTAACGGTCTACCGTAGGTACCTGTTAGACGATAGTGGGACGTAATAATCGTGTATACCTTTTTGTTCGGGAAACAATAACTCTGCATGTGCTCCGTTTCAAATACTGCGCATATTTGAATATCTGGCGTTCGTTACGAACACTATTATTGCTCACAAGTCGTATCGAAAACACATATTCTGCTTTTACTCCCCCGGGACAAGTCCCAATACCGATTTGATGCAATCCTCCGCTTAATTTTGTTACTCGCCTTTCCCTTAATTTTCACTTACGAATTACATCCTTGGTCTATTTCTATCGCGTATAATCCAATTGAGGACTTTTCCTATCGTTTTTACCTTACATGAACGATCGTATAAAATGAATCCGAGCGCGTTGGTACTCACCGCATCTACAGTTACACGCCCGACCCGTACATTTCATATTTTATCGCGACACTTTTTTATAGAACTCTCCAACGTGCTATCTTCCAATACTACTTCACTTATTTGTAGCACGTTTGACGGAATATTTCGGGTCAACGGATGGTGGACGACGGCTACGTGGCTACGAAAATCGATATTTTGCGTGTGAATAATAATTCGACATTGCCACGGTGTAATAATACCAGTTCGTTTTGCGATAAAAGAGCGTTTAAAAATAATTTTGGTCGGCTCGCACATCGGCCCTCGTCGTATCCGACGCGTCTGCCGGTTTTACGCGGCCGCCGTACGTTGTGACCGCGTACGTTGTGCGTCTATAAACAAACGCGCTCTCACTCGCGCACAAACACGATATTTTATTTATATTATAATTCATAATATTATACAAACTGCAAATTTAATATATATATACTTATTTTTTTTTGTTTATTTTGGCTCGTTAAACAGCAGCACTTTAGAGCACAGGCCGACGAGCGCAGGGTCAGGTAGGCATATACACATATAACGTACGTGTGTACCGACTCCTTGGCTTCGGGTCTCGGGGCGATTATTTAAGTGGCTGACGACGACGACGACGGTGTTTTAGAGTTTCTCTGCGCGGCCGCAAAAACGGTACATGGCATGGCGACCGTTACTATTATTATTATACAAACATCGCGTAAATCATCAAAAATATTATCGTCGCGAGTCGCAACACCTATACAATATTAGCGCCGATCGCGGAGACCGAGGCTATGCGCGTTCACACGACCGCGATTGTGTGTACTCGCGTTTCGGGTAACGCAAATAGACGTACAAATAAATATCGAGAATGCGATTCACCCAGCTAAAGACACTATAATAATAATCCCGCAATGGACCCGTCGACGTCCGTCAACCCGACGGGCGTCTTTTTTTCGTTTTTTTTTTTTAACGGGATCGTCACCACGGTATCTCTCTCTCTCTTCGGCGACGTCGTACAAAAACGCTCGCACAATAAGTGCAAGCAATATTATACTATACGCTGCAAGGAAAACGCCGTAATCGCAACAATATTAAAATATAAACGTATATACTCACCCACAATAATAATAACGTGTATAATATTCGTGTAATATCATATATTATTTGATCCGCGGTCTTTGGAAAAAATTCGCCGTGCACGTGCGCAGTACTCAAATGTATAATATGAATATAATATTTTCGTGTCCGCTTGTGTGTGTGTGTGTGTGTGTGTATGCGTGTGCGTGTTTGCAGTTTGTTGCTCGACATCATTAAATATTTGCAGTTCAATGTCAATGGGAGGGGTAGTGGGACAAAGGGGTATTTCACATATATAATATGTGTGTTTGTGTGTTTGTGTGTGTGTGTGTGTGTGTGTGTGTGTGTGTACGAGCATTATATACATACTTAACAAAATGACCTACCCTCCGGAGCGCATTAAAAGGCTCCGCGACTAGTTGGCACACATTATCCTATACACATAGACATAAACGAGCGTCGTGCAGTGTTTGTTCAACGCATTAGCGACGCGACCCACTGCGCTGCGCGCAGAGCGAGAAGAGTGTATAATAATAATAATAATAATAATAATAATAATAATCTTATATAAAACCGACCGATGACGATGACGATATAATAGTAGTAAAATATATACGCGGGGTCCTCGGAATCCGCTCGATTTCGTATACGGTATAAAACTTACTGACGTATAGCGGAGTTAATAAGTCGCGCGCGGTTATATACGTATACGCTTGATCGAGGCGACTTCAAGATAACTGCAGCGTAGTATAATGTACTATACACATTATGCGCCCAGTGAACGCCGCTTATAATGACTCGCGGACACAACGTCCGGTCGCTTATTACGCACGAAATCACTCGGAACGATCCGGACACGTCGTCCAAACACGTCGTATCCATTCTGCGTTTGGCCTGTAGGGTTCATTCGGTTATAAGACTCGCTTTATGCCGGTTCCAAAGTGAGCCGTCTCATATAGGCGGCGTCTGCTGTATACGAGAAAAATGTAACGGCCTCGTGCAAAGCGATAGTGTACTCGGGGGAAAATTGTTCTAGACCGGCGTGTAAACTTTGAAAATATTGTTTTATGCGGAAAAAAAAACAAAAAAACCTTTGAGATGACCGCGTTAATTCCGTTTGTCGAATTCTTAAAACCCGCGGTGTACAACTGCGGTTCATTTGCGTTCGTATACATTTTGACGTTCGACAGAAACTCGACTTTTAAAACCACACGCAGACACCGTAACGGAATACGCGTTTCGATGGTCGTGATACGGCAATAATAATCGTACGTAACTCATTATAAGTTATAAAGTCAATAGGCGGGAAAATACGTAACTCGTCGGGTTTCAAGTTTTTTTTTATTTTTGTTTTTTTTTTATAGTAACCGCTGTCGGTTTTCAATAACACGACTGTATAACCGCATTGCTCGCCGGCTTTGTCCGAATTACATACCCGCCGCCGTCAAAACCTTACTATTCGGAAGACCCCGTGTATACTTACGCAGTATATATGTAAGTACAGAATACGTGCGCGCCGGACGAACACGCCCCAGTATCGACTACCCGGTCGGTTTACGTAACGAGATTCGAATATTACAATATCGATTATTTATGCGGCGTATAAATTGTCGGGAAGGTTTTTTTATTTTTTCTCATTACTCCGAGTGTTTACCGCGGGTATAGCGCAGGGATTTCGTCGATTACAGTGTGTATTTTTTTCGTTTTTTTTTTTCCGCTTCTTAGGTTACGCCGGATTTTTCGTACATAACAAAACCCCCGTCGGACTTTCGACGGAACGGGATAAGAGTAGGAGAAGGAAGAGAATGAAGAGGATTTAGACCCGAGGCGGCCTGCCGTCCGCCGCCCGTGGCGTACCGCCAGAAAACGGATTTTGGACATTTTTCCGTACACCGCACGCATAAGTACACCGTACACACACGAGAGCAGTTCCGGGTGCGACGGTTTCTTAACTCGAATCTTCGACGTGGCGGTGTAAAAAACGAACGGGCGATAAAACCGTTGTAATAAACAGCCTACGTTATTGCGATA